TTTTCGACTTCTTTTTAAAAACCACAAGTTCAATTGCTTTGATATTATACATATAGGTACTACATGTGGACCCCTTTCAGATTTGTTCATTTCATGATGATATCTTTAATTCTCTAATTTTGATGAATATTTTTGTAATTTTGGGTAAAAAGTGATATTTTCAAATTCTTGTTGAAAACAGCAAATCAGATTGCTTTGATTGTTTATTTTCTAATGATATCTTCTGTTCTTTAATTGGAATGTGCATTGCTAACAGCTGAGCTATCTCAACCAAGAGGCTGCTTGTCTCTAATACATACAACATAAACATATATTTTCCCTTGGGTAATGTATACAAGGATCCCAAAACTGTAGAGCTATTTCAGCAAATGGGCTTGTTGGTATGCCAGGTTTTGTATTGTATATAAAATTGTACATTGTCTTTGTATTTCAGGTATATAAAAGAGCTGAGTTATATTGATAGCAATAAAGCTGCGATATGGGGATGGGTGAGTTTTATTATTCAATTTATGTTAATCATCATTCATTAGAGAGACTAATAATTTGATATGCAAGTTTTATGAAAAGAGCAGAGTTACAGCTTCTCCACCAGTGGAAAACACATTGAAAAAAATGCAATACATTCATTTATTATTAGCTACAGTCTAAGTCTCTTGAATGATTTTAGAGCCAAGAAATATGCTTGGAGGATAACAATATAGTTTTATCAACCAATCATGTGACTATTTTGACAAGTAATGGCCATTTTGTCTCAAGAAACTCAATTTGTCATCATCTTAGGCATGTCTAAAATTCACAAATTTTATTCAATCAACCTTGAATTGATGTGAAATGATTGACTGACTGGTTTTGTTTGCTTAGTGTCCGTGCATTCCTCAACCAATTATCATCAAACCTCACATGTACTTATACCTTATACAATACATGTGGTGATATTGTGAGTTTGTCAAAGATGGCTAAATGGCAGCCATTTTTGTAGTAAAAATACACTAAAATAAAATATTATGGCAAGTGCGGAAACAGACTGGCAGCTATTTTGTTTTTGACAAATTCTATACGTCTCATGCTTTGAGCAACACAATTCAAACTTTATACTGGTACTTTGATTGTCCATCGCGGCATACACAATTCAAACTTTATACCGGTACTTTGATTGTCCATCACGGCATACACAATTCAAACTTTATACTGGTACTTTGATTGTCCATCACAGCATACACAATTCAAACTTTATACCGGTACTTTGATTGTCCTTCATGGCATACATAATTCAAACTTTATACCGGTACTTTGATTGTCCTTCATGGCATACATAATTCAAACTTTATACCGGTACTTTGATTGTCCATCATGGCATACATATGCACAATTTCTGATCAATCGCTTATAGCAATTGTTGCACAAAATTTCAAATGACATCTTTGTTTGTAGCTTACAACGTCATTGACAGTCACCCAGTTCAGTTCAGCTAGTAGTAAAATACAGCTTTATACCATTAAGGAGATGTTCTATCAGGGTGAAAACGCATCATTTTATCAACTCCTTTGAAATATTTATTGTTGATGATAGCTACATGCATCTGATACAGTTGTAGTTACCAGTGGTAGGGTGTTTTGCATGTTGATTCATACCTTGCTAGGTGTGTTTTATATCAACTGTAGTTTTACAGTTTTGTATGGCTCTTCTATACATACAGAGTGTCTAGTAACACATGTGATGTGACACTCCCTTCCTTCTTGTATCAAATGTTTGCTTTTGTATATTTGTGAATTACAATGACAACTTCTTTTTCACAAATTTATTCATGTTTTTGACAGAAATTTCATCTCTTTCTGGAATTAACATTGCCATATCTCAAACAAATTGGTATCCATTGATTTGTATATAATGTGTTGACACTTTGAACAAAATTGTTGCAGTTAACATTCTGAATAATTTTCCATCATTTAATTGTCTGTCTACAACTATTATTGTCTTTAATAAGAGTCATTTAAAAAACACACAATATATAAGTTGTATACAAAATTTTATGAGAAAAGCGAAAGAAAAGTTTTTCCTGTGCAAATATTTGCATTCAGTTAAACAATTTTATGTTCTTCATGTGCTACAGTGTCCATGTGTAGATGCAAAAACTGTCATGTCAATTATCAACAATACAATTATTGCTTATCATAAAATGTTTTTGGTGAAAGATGTATAACAACATGAAATACAGACATTGCCTTCTTCACATAGTATCATGTAAATTGAGAATGAATATGCTTTTCTCTTGTAGTCTTATGGTGGCTTCGCTTCAGCAATGGCATTGGCTACTGGTGAGACATTTAACTGTGCAATGTCAGTCAGTCCAGTAACAGACTGGAGATATTATGGTGAGTTCAATCTGACAGAAATGCAATACACTATGTTATCACAAATGTTAGTAGAATCACATAATATTCTGACTGGTTGGTAAACATGGCAGACAGAGAATCCAGTGATTGCTCTAAAATATTCATTTATGATAATATGAACTTGAATCATGACTGAATAATCAGCAATGCTGTTAGAAAGCAAGTTATTCTTGCAAGATGTTTTCATACTTCCAGTATTCATAACACCATTTACTATCATTAATTAAAGCCTAAATTAGAGTCAAACCATTGTTACAGGAAGAAAAATCTGATGTACCGATATGTGAAATTTTGAAGAACAAAAAACAGCACAATTTTACTTTCGGTCAAAATTTCAAAAACCAATCAATTATTAAAATCTGCTAAATAATGTAGAAACAAATTTTACAATAGTTAACCTTATTCTCTGGTTCATCATTAACTTAATAAATAAAAAAAAAACATACATTGAAATAGTTATTTAACTTTTTATAATCAAAATAAGTGTAAAAACAATTATTGAAATTTGTTGCCATAACATTTTAGTCGTGGACTTCAGAACTGACCTACAGCCACATTGTTGAAGAATCTCTTCCCAACTTGATTTTGGACTTTTGATCCATATTTATCTAAATTAGAATTATTAGATGAATATGATACCGTATTTATTCTATG